GGAAAGGAGGTCATGCCTGGTACCGGCGCGCGTCAGAGGAAGGAAACAAAAGACCGCCAAGGACAGGGATTGACAGAGTGTTTGCGCCAGTGGGCTCAAATCCAGCAATGGTGAGACTGGCACAAGACCTGATCGTCTTTCATGTTGTGGTACGTAGCAGGGCCACCACGAGTTGGCATAACTGAAGGCTACCTAATGCAACTGCGTGTGTGCGTGCTCGCGCGCGTGCGTGTTCGCGCGCTGCGCGTATGTGCGCACGCGCACATGCAGAAACATATGGCGACTACGGTTCCGGGTCTTACGTGCACGTTTACTCCAAACAAAGTGTATTTAAACACATCTTTGTTATCAGTGGTTGACTGCAGACAAACTCCTTCAGAAATACGCTTCTCTTAGTAGCCTAAAAACCCAAACCAACAGCACTGCCAGGGAGTTGCTTCTGACGCCTAACCACCCCGTGGAGGATTTCTGCGACTTCACATCTTTACAGAAGCAGGCAGCCTGATCGGTCTCCCTTGGAGAGGCTGGTAGGTTTCAACTGACGACCTTCTGGTTAGCAGCTCAATGCCCAGCCCGAAGCACCACCAGGGTCTTTCGGGCCTCCTCCAAAGCAAACAAACCACAAGCAAACGCATTGCCGTGGAGTAGCTTCTGACTCAGAGCGACCCCTGGTGGCGTAGGGGTTCCGCGCTGGGCTGATAACCGCAAGGGCAGCAGTTGTAAAGGCCCACGTGCTAGGATTTCTATCCCCTTAAGACATGGGCAATCTCAGAAAGTCACAGGGACAGCTCCCCTCTGGCCTGCTCTGGCCTGCAGGCTCACTGCCATGAGCCTGAAACGGAAACGCTCCCTGCCATCAAGGCAGTGCTGACTCATAGCGACCCCTTTGGGCGTCGCTGTGACTTAACTGCTTATTGGAGCAAGACGTCTAGACTTTCTCCTGTGGGGCTGATGGTGGTTTCGAACTGCTGACCAAGCCTTTAAAAAAGGTACAGTCACCACAGCGGCTACCTGGCGTTGCGCTGAGTTTTTCAGATTCTGCTAGGTAGAGAGGTTAGCCCAGCGGTGTATGCTGACTGTTTTCTTGGATTCCAAAGGCGGCATCTGGGTGCATTTTCTTGGAAGGCTCGGAAAGATCATTGAGGGTTACTTTTTTAAGTTGTGTTGTTTTGTTTTGTTTTTAATTGAGAACTGCATTGGTGAGAAAAGAGGCCCAGAATGCCTTGCCAAGGATTTTTTTCCCCCATCACGTCATTGCACCTGTTCATTCCTGGAGGGTAGTAAAGGCTCTCCTAGGAGAAACTGCTGTGGTGACCGGTGTAAATTGATTAGAGCAGAGCTCTTTGGGGAAGGGTTAGACTATCTTGGGAAGTTGTATAGGCCTGGATTAATGATACGGTGGAAACAATAGCTTCACATTTTGATATTTGGATTCATTAAAGGTTTCTATGATTTTGTAATAATGTTTTCTGACTTACCGTAATATATATTTACCCTCATTAAAAGAGAATCTTAATGAAAATTTTTCTCATAAGAAAACTCTAGTTCTAGATGGCTACATCAGACTTTTAAAGCAATAATAGTCACAATCCTTGAAGAGCTTTAAAAATATACAAGAGAAATAGACACTTCCTAATTCTTTTTATACCAAAAGTGAAAACAATATATCTGACCCCTAATGAAATTTTAACAATTGGAATTAAATGATCTATAAAACATATCATAAATGAATCCCCAAATGCAAAGCTGATTATCATGAAGTACACATCAATGTGTTTATGGAGAGAAAAGAAAGGCAACAATGATCTATCATAATATACGACAGAAAAAATATTTCATAATATTAAACACCACGTCATGACAGGAACTCTTGACAAATTAGAGGAAAAGGAATATCCTTCAGGGCTTTATGCAAACCCTGCAACTGAAAAAAATAAAACCCCTGCGACTGGCATTATACCTGGAGTCTCTTATTGATAGAATAGTTAGCACGCTGTGCTGCTAAGGGAAAGTTTGGAGGTGTGTGTCTACCCAGGGGCCCCCCTCCCCAATGCTTGGTGATCTACTTCTAAGCAATCATCTATTGAAAACCCCTATGGAACACAGTTTTCCTCTGGCACACACGTTTAAGTAACCATGAATGCGAACTGACACCACGTGCAATCATCAAGCATTTTGTTGTTGTTTTTAAATATCGTATTTCATGGTGAAAAACTGGATGCTTCTCCTCTAATATTAGTAATAAGGCAGGAATGTCCACTTGCACCATATCTGTTCAAAATTATACTGTCAGTCCTAGCAAGTGCAGTAAGAAAATAAAATACATAAAAAGCATGCAAACTGAATAGGAAGAAACAACACCATCTTATTCACACATGGCATGATTGTTTACATAGAAAGTACTAACTAAAGTAGACAATTCATTGAATAAGCAATTTAACCAGGTCACAGGATTAAAAGTCAATAAATAAAAATCCATTATATCTCTCAATATTTGCAAACAAAAATTGCAGATAGCACTTTAAAAAATGTAATTTCCAGTAGCAGTCAAATGAATGAAATATATAGATAGATATATAGATAGAAGAAAGATATATAATTTGAACATGGTATGTGACACAATCCTCTGTACTGAACAAACGGCCCTATTGCCTTTGAGCCCATTCTAACTCCTGGCGACTTCACATTTTACAGAGGAGGTGCAGGCTCTGTAGTGTTTTCTCTGCTCTTATCATTATGGCAAGGAAGAAAGATGAGACTTTGTACTTCTAGAAAGACGTCTAGTCTTGGAAACCCACAAAGGCAGTTCTACCATGTCCTATGGGACTGACATGAGTCTGAATGGAATCAAAGGCAGTGATTGATTTTCTCTTTGTGGTAACAGAGCTCCCGCCTTGTCTTGTATATTGCCAATACTTTGGTTTGCCAATACACCCAGTAGTTATGTACAAACCATTTGCACCACCCAGGAAACTCAAGAACCTGTCCGAAATAATGAGCACACGTTGCTGGAAACAATTAAAGAAGAATTAGCTAAATGAAGATATACTATGTTCGTGAAACAGAGACTTGTGGTTGTTAAGGTTTCGCTTGTCTAGTAATTGATTATTAGATTTAAGAAATCAAAATAGAGATGAAAAGCTATTTCAAAATATTTTATAAAAATGTAAATATAGTGTTTAAATAGCAGACTTACAGACCGAGTAGAACTGGTCCATAAGATGTGATCTTTGTGAAGAATATCAACAGATCTTTTCTAACATGTAGCTCTTCTTGGATTCAAACTTCCAACCTTTCTGCTTACTCTGAACTCTTAGCCAGTGACTAGAGCAAAGGACAAAGGATAATCAAGCCATTTGGATAAGACCAAAATGGAGGACTTACATTGCCTAATTTACTAACTCCATATAAAGCCCCACACTGTGATATTGCCATAAGAGTAGACATATGGATCAGCAGATAAAATTTTTAAATCTAAAAATAGGCCCACATATGCATGATCAGGCAATATTTATAAAGTTATTAAATAACTAAAATGGAAGATGAAAATCCTTTAAACTAATGGTGCTTGATGAAGTGGACATTCATAAGGGGGGGGGAATAAACCTAAACACATAACGCACTAGATAAAAAATTACCTTATGATAAATCATAGATCTAAGGCTTCTACAAGGACATATAAGTGAAATACTTTCTCCCAGGTCACAGAGTTAAGCAAAGATATTTTGTGTCCCAACATAACAAGCATGAACCACGAATGGAAAAAATAGTTGACTCATCGCAATTTAAACATTTGCTCCTAATAAACCAAAATACCGAAAGTCATGTTTAGCTTTCTAAAACTATATTGGAAACCTGGGCAGACTTTGACTTTTACTCACCCTTAGAACAGAAATCAGAGTCGATTTCTTTTCTGTTACATAAGCTCACTTTATGACTTTGGACTTCTGCTTGCATTGTTTTTCCTTCTCTATTTGCCCGGTCAACCTATTGAAGGCATACCTCTCCTGAAAAACCTGCTCTAACTTTATTCCAACCATCAGGGATAGATGTTTCCCTTCCAAGGCCCCTAAGCTTCCCCCCAATACTCTCTGTTGCAATCATCCCTTTTTGGTTTTGCACCCACAAAATGACTGATAGCAGAATCGGGGTCTCGTTCGTTGCCACATCTCCAAAGCGTGGCCAATGATATCACAGAAAAACACGCTTTGTGGCCTCACAGTTTATAGGATAGCTTCCGCCTTAATTTAAAAAAAACGAAACCAAAGGCCTTGAAGCCACAGCCTGCCTCTTTTCCTTCAGCCCTCTGAATTCAGGGAGCTCCCTTGAACTTGGCGATATGGTTCCCCACAACATCATTTGAAATGCAAGTATGAAAGATAAAATTTATTGTAATAGGTTTGTCAACAAAGAGCTCTTTCTCTGCTATGAGCCTTTTCACTTAGCTCCACCTAAGGAACGTCAGCTCCGTCCCTCACAGTTTTCAAGCCCTCCAAACCCAGAATCACTTGTCCACCATCCACCAGGTGCTGACCGACGTACAGACACAACAGCGTTTTACAAAATCCTTTGAGAAGACAACCTTTACAATTCACCTGGGCTCTGGATATTAACATTCAAGTCAAAGCCTTGCAAGACCAATTTAACCCCTGCACCTCCCTGGGGCTTTACTCTATATAATCCTGTGAATCTAAAGGTAGCTAAGTACGCAATAAACACGGCTGTCTGTGGCATCCACTCCAGATGGCAACTCACCATTTTCCTGAACTGCTGTTGTTTCTGTTCATCGCAAAGAGACCAGGGACAACAAAGGAGAACGAGAGATAGGAAATGTTGGAGTAGGAGATCCAGGAACAGAGAGGATGTCACAGACCAGGACTGTATCTACTGCTTGGATACAGTGAACTCCGGTAGGGAGGGAGGAATGCTAGGGTGGGGCAGAGGGGATAGGGAGTGAAAGGGGCAGGTCCGCAGTGTCTTCGCCCTTAGCCCAGTGAGGAGCTCAGCTGGTCGTTTCAAGTCATCGCCTGAACGCCACACTCTCTTAGAAGCATGATCTTCAAACGCTTCCGTCCACCTCCTGAACCGGTAAGTCAGATTTTCTTCCCTCAGTGGGAAGGATTGGGGTTCTGTATGTAGGATTAATCGACATACTCCCAGTGCCTGGAACATTGTCGGGAGGCCTGTGGTTGTTAAATGAGGTGATGTACACCAGGGATGGCAGAGACCACTAGATGGAGGCTTTCTCTTCTTTTACGCAGACTATGAAAGGACTGCTTAACCACGCTGAAGAAATTGTTTTGTCTGACACGATAGAGAATCCACCCAATAGCTCAGTGCCCGTCAGGGAACCTACTAGTCCCAGGGGATCTTGGAGGATTCAGTTCCAGAGAACCCTGGCATGTTTCACCAAGTTCTTCAGGTAAGACTTTGGAGCCAATTTTTACCTCTGATCGTCCACCTGCCTTCCCTTTCTGCCAGACAAAGTGGGCTCTAGATACCTGTAATTCCCAGTCTTCCCAAATATCCAGTTGTCACTCTTTTTTCCCTTTGCAGAAGAGGATACGAGAATCTTAGAAACGCCATGGGCTGAGAACCTAGGCGCCGGAGTCACAGGCCCGTGAATCGCAATCAAGATCCCGCTGCTCCCACGTGCTCCTGCTCTCCCCCGTTTCTCAGTCAATGGGTCTGAAATAAATGCTGAGCTTCTCGATGATTTTTGCTTCAGTGTCTTTCATTTAATTGTCTCAACAATGATATCAGATTCAGAAACATTAAGGATCCTAGGTTGGTGTGGGGCGTGGGTTTGTGGAGAGAGAGGGGGGCTAGAATATTAGTTATCCTTGCAAGGTTGTATATCTTCTTTGCTGGGGCGGTGCTTTTGGCTCCTGAGCCATGGTTGCACCGGGTTTGAATTCCCCGTGGTGACAGCTCATGATGGGGCAAATCCGTGCAAGCATGAAAAGTGATCTTCACATCTGCCACGAGCTGAGCAGGCTTTATTTGGAACTTGAGGGGACCGGGGAGTAAGAATCTCTGAATGCTAAAACAAGGGTTTAGACTCACATCCTTATACCAACCCCCCAAATATCCCTAGCCTGACATAAGACATAGCCTCACAATAGGCAACTTTGTGTCCAATTGCAGATTGTTCATTTTCATGTTTTGAGGCTTGTTTTCCCTTGGGAAATTAGAGTGACCTTGTTATGTCCTCAACATCATATCAATAGAAGGCTGTAAGAGGATTCGAGCATATTTATCCTTTTTGTCCTGAACCAAACGGAGGAGGCCCTGTTAGAAATTGTAGCGCCACGGCCGGTCGGCAGATATGTGATATGCGGCTTCTTGTCAAATAGCCTAATTAGGATACAGGGATACCGACATGTTCTTTTTGCTAACTCCCTTGATCTCCTAAACGAAGCCAGGACTGGGGGGAAAAGTTCGTGGACAGGAATTCCTAGGGGAACTCTCAGGCCTTTAGATGGTCCAAGGTCTCCCGAGACTCTGAGTACAAAGGTGGTCCAGATAGAATATGTTTCCGATAGGGAAAAGCATGTGGGAGGCCCAGCATCCCTTTTTGCTAGCCCTGGAGGGCAGTCAAGGTGGAACCCATGGGTATAGAACAGAAAAAAACTGCAAATTCGGGTGTGAACGGGTTGATTTTGATCTGGTGTCTCAGCAGCTTTACCTAATGGCCCAGGAGCCACTTTTCTCCCCATAAAGCCTTTGTCGCCCTGGGGTGGGCCCTAAGTCGAGGGGAAATTCAGCTTCCTGTCTCTACTTCTCCAGATGATACTGGGACCCGAAAGCATTTAGGATGTGACCTATTTTTGAAAGAAGGAATGATATTGTGAAACCTGGTGGCAGCTGGACTTGAAACCTGACCAGCAGAGCTGTGGTTGTTCGGTGCCGTGAGTCTGCTCTGACACATGGCGACCTGATGGACAACAGAAGGAAACGCTGCCGGGTCCTGTGCCACCCTCACAGTGGTTCCTGTGCTTGAGCCCATGGGTGCAGCCACTGTGTCCGTGCCTCTCCTTGAGGGCCTGCCTCTCTCTCACTGCCGCTCTAGTTTACCAAGCATGGTGTCTGTCCTTCTCCGGGGACTGGTTGGTTTCTTCGGACAACATGTGTAAGGTACTAAGACTAAGTATCACCATCCTTGCCTCTAAGGAACCCTCTGGCCATACCTCTTCCAAGACAGACTGGTTTGCCCTTTTAGCAGTCCATGGCATTTAAATATTCTTGCCAGCACCACAATTCACATTGATTATATATATATATCCTTATTCAATGTCCAACTTTCGCCTGCTTGTGAGGCTTGACTTAGACACACCTTAACGCTCAGAGTAACACCCTTGTTTTTCAGCATTGTACCCAGTGCAGTGCATCCATTGCTCTTTTGACTGCAGGTTCCATGAGCCTTTACTATGGATCCAAGTAAGACAAAATCCTTGGCAACTTCAACTTTTCTACATTTATCTTGATGTTACTTACTACTCCAGTTGTGAGGACTTTGGTCTCCTTTCCAATGAGTTAAAATGGGCCCAGGCATGCAGGTGTGTGTGTGTGAGGGCATCAGAGCCCATGGAATCCCTCAAGGTAGGCAGCTCAAAACCAGCAGTCGCTCCACTGGAGAAAAATGAGGCCTTCTACTTCTGTAAAGACTACAGTCTACAGCCCACATGGAAGAAACACAGCAGCCTGCGTGATCACGAGATGTCGATGGGATCAGGTATCAGGTTTCAAAGACCCAGAACAAAAAATCATATCAATGTGAATGAGGGGCAGTGTGGAGTGGAGACTCAAAGCCCATCTGTAGACAATCGGACATCTCCTTACAGAACGGTCACAAGGAAGAGATGAGCCGGTCAGGGTTCAGTATAGCACCGATAAAACAAACAACTTTCCTCTAGTTCTTTAATGCTTTCCACTCCGCCCCCCACGATCATGACCTCAATTCTACCTTACAAATCTGCCTAGACCAGAGCATGTACACTGCTACAGAGAAGAGCTGGAAACACAGGTAAGTCAGGACAGATAAACCCCTCGGAACCAGTGGTGAGAGTGGCGATACCAGGAGGGTAGGGGGAAGGTGGGGGGAGAGAGAGGGAACTGATCTCAACGGTCTACATATAACCCCCTCCCAGGGAGGCAGACAACAGAAGAGTGGGTGAAGGGAGATATTGGTCAATGTGGAATGTGAAAAAATAATAATAATTTATAAATTACCAAGGGTTCATGAGAGAGAGAGGGTGGGAGAGGGAGGGAGAGAGAGGGAGAAAAAAAATGAGGAGCTGATGCCAGGGGCTCTGGTGGAGAGAGAATGTTTCGAACGTGATGATGGCAACAAATGTACAAATGTGCTTAACACAATAGATATATGTATGCATTGTGATAAGAACAGTATGAGCCCTCAGTAAATGATTTTTTAAAGAGTACAGTCTTGGAAGCACACAGGGGCAGTTCTACCCTGTCCTATAGAGTCACTGTCTGTCAGCATCGACTAGGATGACAGTGAGTAGCAAGTAGTATCTACATTGAGTTGTAATCCATACTGAAAGCTGTAATACTTGGTCTTTATCAGCAAGTATCTCAAGTTCTCAATTTCAGGAAGCATGGTTGTATCAGCTGTATATTACAGGTTGGTAATAAGTCTTCCTCCAATCTTGATGCTGCATCCTTTTGTTTTTTAAACTTCTGTACGGTGGTACTTAAAAAAAAAGTTTTATTAGCACTTTATGCACATGCCATACAATTCAATAGTTCAATCATATCAAGAAGAATTGTATAATTGTCACCATATTCAATTCTAGAACATTTTCTTCTTTCTTGTAGTCATTGTTATTTGTGTAATTATTATTTTTTCTATTTGTGGTAAAAATATACACAACAGAACATTTTCAAATGCCACAACTTCTGCTTGTATAATTCAGTGTCATTGATTATATTCTTCATGCTGTACAGCCACTATTGATATCCTTTTCCAAATTATTCTACCATCATTGACATAAACTCCATGTCCCCTACACAAGAACTCTTTCCCCTTCATCTATGGTAACCATTAGAAAAGTTTAGTTTCAGAGGATGTACACTGGTACAGATAGGAACTGAAAATACAGGGAATCCAGGGCAGATGAGCCCTACAGGACCAGTGGTGTGAGTGGCGAAACAGGGAGGGTAAAGGGAGAATGGGTAGGAAAGAGGGAACCGATTACTAGGAACTGTGTGTGACCTCCTCCCTGGGGGACAGACAACCGAAAAGTGGGTGAAGGGAGACCTTGGACAGGGCAAGAGATGACAAAATACCCATTTATAAACTATCAAGGGCTCATGAGGGAGGGGGGAGCGGGGAGGGAGGGGGAAAAATGAGGACCTAATGTCGGGGGTTTAAGTGGAGAGAAAATGTTTTGAGAATGATGTACAAATGCGCTTTACTCAATTGATGTGTGTATGGATTGAGATAACAGTTGTATGAGCCCCTAATAAAATGTTAAAAAAAAAAAAGTTTGGTTTCTTATCCCCACCCCCATGGTTTTCCTGATATAGTATGCACATATCATATACTTCCATGGTTAAATTGCTTTTAAAAATGAGTTGTATAATCACAATCAGTTCTAGTGCTTCCCCCTCCCCCCCGCATTCATTATTTGCTCCCCAAATCCCTTCACCCTCCCTATCTCCCACCTCCCACCCCTACATCCCATTTAAACCCCTTCATCAGTTCTTAACTCTATACATCTTGGTGCTTTACAAACTGGGAAATCCAACAGAAACAATAAAAAACAACATAAAGTGGCAAGGATAAAATAATAATAATATAAAGATAAAAATACCAATAATGAGTAAGAAAGAAAAGACCACCATCAATATTTAAAAAGCCAGGGAATTAAGTTTTGTCATGGAACAAGTTGCGCCTAGAACAAATTCAGGTTGGGTTAAGAGGGAGTTCAATTGACCAAGTATCAAGTGCAATCCAGCATCATCAAGATGACAATGATCTCTGTTTGATAGTAAAGCTGTTAGAGACCATTGCCTGTGGCTACAGGGGATCTACCAGCAGCTTAATCTGACTAGATACTCTGCAGATGGGTTTTGGGCTCCCACTGTCCACAGCCTTCTACATATTGGGTGTTCACAATTGACACTATGATACTTTTCCCTTCATATTTGGATTTAGATTTTTTTTATCATCATCTTTGGATCATACAGGCTGGTGTGGCTCTTCCATGAGGGCTTAGTTGACTCCTCACTTAGATGGCTGCTTTTTTTAATACAATCCTTTGAGACCCCAGACATTAATCCAATTGATAGCAAGGAAACCATCTGCTTCCTTCACCACACTTTGCTGGAGCACCCTTATCTTCAGCGATCCTTTCATGAAGGTGAATTTGGAGCAGGGCAATGTTATCAGAACGAACTGTTCTTGGATCGAGGCTAGAGTTCAGTGGGAATCCAGAATCCACCTGCTTGTCCACAGGATGTGCATGAGTCAGGTTTACTTTGGTGGTCATATTAGGACAACATCAAGCCCCTAAGACCAACTACACCACCACTGCCAACAAACCAACCAGAAAACAAACAAAAGGCAGAAAACAAAAAAACCATAGAAACATCAACAAAAACGTACAACATTGCCAATCATCCCCCTGGGGTATAAGACGATTGCACTGATAACATCAGCAGGTTTTCCAAGGACACAGCACTCTGGACAGT